ATGTGCTTCTACTTGAATTTGGGAGCTTGCAGTTAATCAGAAAAACAATTAAAAACACTTCATACCCTCTGGTCAGATAACAAAATATCTGATAGCTGCATTTTTTTTTCAAATAGTTGTTTTCGCAATTAGTGGAGAAATAGTGACCAAAAAAGAGCTAAATTTAGATTAGAGATTTGTAAACTAGGCTTCTTTGTTTTTTATTTTAATTGTATTACGTGATAATTCTGCATTTTAATTGGCACTTGGATATCAAGATGATAGACACCTTAAAATACAATTACAGAAGAATTTGCAATGGAGAAAGATACTGTCAGAAGTAGAGACAAAACTATTTTATCCCTTAGGTTAGGCACAACATGGGTAAGTACAATCCTGAAGAAAGCAAGATAATCCTACCCCATAATCGTTTAATGTCAAGCCATTATAATAGAGGAAGAAGCGAAATCAGTGACATTAGATTATGTGATTTTTATGCTCAATCATACAACTCATTTCCTCTTACTTGAATCTCTGCACCATGTTTTCTCTAAACACTTGCAACCACTGAATTTTTTTGTGTTGGTGTATTTCATATGGTGTATGTTGCAAAACCCCTTCTACATAGGTAACTCTTACATATATCCAGAGAGGGATAGCAAACGTGCTGCCAGCTTACTCTACAGAGTTCAAGGCACAGAAGCACTGATTCCCCTCATAGTTTTACAATGTACCAGTGAACTACATTTCACTGGAACAAGGTGAAATTACATTTTCATTTTAAGTGCAAAGACCAAGGACCGAGGTTGTGCCACCAGTGATATAAATTACAGGATGTTAATAAAAGTGTGACTATTCAGATTCAAATGGAAATCAGCAAGCTGGGAATTTTAATAACTTTTATTTTTTCACACATCTTAGAAAAGTGTTTCTAGTCAAATCATGAGCAGCTGGCGCTGGAAATGCAAAGCTTCAGCCAGCTCCAAACTCTTTGCCTGGCTGACGAACTTTGAAAATATCAGCTCCCCTTTGGCCAAGAGCCATAAACTCAGCTTCTCTAGCCAAAAAGGCTGTCTTGCAGGGCCAGAAAATGGCAATGCATGTGCAGACAAGGACCTGGGCTCTCTTCCTACAGCCCCATTTCCATTAGATGCCCTTTTCCTAATGCAGGGCAGAAGAAGCAAGGGCAGCAGTGGAAGGGATACATCCGCAACCCAGGTTGCATCCTAGGGATTGGACTACAGAGCACTGTGTCGGGGACTCCTCTCCACGGCAGAAAGAGAGTGGGGCATGGAGAACCTTCAACACCCACTCCCTGCAGCAACCCCCAGCCACTGCCACCCTAGTAAAGCTAGGGTGGCATTTTTAAACTTCTATTTGCCATCGTAAGTGCCAGAAACTTTCACTAAAAAATAAGCGGAGCGTCTAACCAAGTCAAAAAGTGCCATGAGCTGGAATCTAACCAAGAACATACATCTTCTATACTTACAGCTGCTTCCCTTTCAGTGAAAGCTATGAATTCTTCCACACCTACCAAAGCCTGCATTGTCCAGAGGTTACTCACTATATCTTTCTGTTCTTACCACCAGCCTGTAGAAAGGAAACTCCCACCTGTTTTAATGCCTCAATGCATGGGAGCAGGAGACAAAGTCTTTTCTTGTGAAATGAATATAGCCACAATAGATATTCAAGCTACAGCCTGAGAATCCCTCCTGGGTGAGCAACAAAAAGGACTTACAATCTCAGAGGATGAAGAGCTGCCAGGTGGCTAAGAGTTTCCCCCAGTGGAAAAAAAAGACCACCCCCAGTTTTGTGCTGGAGGATGAGAAGGAAGAGAGAGAGTTTCCTTCCTAGTAAAAGTCTAAAAAGAACC